CGCTCTACAAATATGCATTTTACTCCTCATGTATGGATGTTTACTTGAAACTGTTCTAATTAATATGGAGATTCTGTTTTCTTTGCTAGCATTCTGGTTTCTAAAAATGGCACTGAAGAATGTCCACATATTGTATTGTGGACAGTGTGCAATTTGATTTGTTTCCCTCGAGTACATATAATAATTTGACCACTTACAAAGCATGTTAATTTTGTTTCAGAAAGGCACGCTTTGTATTCTAAATTCTACAAACGCTGTTTCATCAAAATGGGTTAGGATCTATTTCAGATTGTTCCCTTTCTAAGCATATGTGGTTTCATGTTGTCAGCTGATTTCCAAATATGGTAAGGTATTTCTATGCAGAATCTGTGGAGCTTACTGGGTGGATGCAGGTCAGAGGATAGGTGAACACAGTAAGCAAAACTAATTGTAATTAGCTTTTAATTGGATATTAACATCATTAAGAAAACAAAATTGTCAGATGTATTGTAAAAGAGATTTAAAACTTAATGTTTAAAAAAAATCTTGTGCAAATTCTAATGTATTATTTTCACATAATATTTTCTCCCTGAGCCTTTGAAGTTGCAACTTGACATGTTGCATGGGCAATTGAACTATTAACAGCAAGATACAACAAAATTACAATTGTATAGCGCCTTTCACGTTGGGAAGACTTCCCAAGGCGCTGTTATATCAGTGTGTCAGCCTGCCTCAAGTAGTACTCTCGCATCTGAGTCAGAAAGTTGTGGGTTCAAGCCCGAGAGGGTTGCATTGAACCGAGGTCCCGTCTGCCTGTTCAGGTGGATCTTAAAGATCCCATAGCACTATTTGAAAAGAGTAGGGCATTTCTCCTGGTTTCCTGGCCAAAAATACCCAAATAAACTTGGTCACTCAACTCTATGGTTGTTTGTGGGACATTGCTAAGTGTAGACTGGCTGCTGTGTTTTGCCCACAGACTAGAGTCAATCCACTTCACAGTGCTTTGAGACATCTTGATGATGAGATAAGGGGCTGCATCAAAATGCAAGGATTATTATTAAGGAGAACATAGTAAGAGGGCATTTGATCCAGTATAGTAGTTTAGTGTTTGCTTCTGCAATAAAGCCATCTATCCTAATCCCAATTCCCTGCTCTTTCTCTTATCCTCTAATACCATTTCTTCACATATGCTTATCTAATTCCCTTTACACTCCTCAGTGCATTCTATCAATAGCCACATCTGGCAATTCATACCATGTTCTGACAACCTTGTGGGAAGTTTTTTCCCCTAATTTCCTTTTTTCTCATCTAGTTGTTTGAAATTCATGTCCTCTTATCCTTTAATCACCTAGCAGTGAAAATAGTTCCTCCCATTTATCCTCATTAATTTCATTATTAAAAACATCCCTCGCAGCAAAATCTCCTGAGATTAAAGCCCATCTTGCCATTCAGAACAAGTCAGGGCTTTCAGTGGTAATATTTGTAAAAAGTTGTGGAAGGCCTTCTGGATTAGTGTAATACTAATCACATCAAACCAGAAAATCCAGGAATGCATAAAAACAATGTACTGTGCAGATTCTTGTAAGCAACAATATCATACAACAGAATTACCCATACAGACCAAAAAAAACTTTTTTTATATTTGCATACATTGGTTTGTCTCTTCGCCAGGGCCACTTCTACTCTAGCTACATATTCAGTGCAACTAAAATGAAAGTCTGCCCTTAATATATACAGAACCATTCATCTGGCCTCCCACTAAGCCAGGATAGTTTCCAGTTATGATGCAGATATATGAATTGCCATTTTGTTTAGCTGAGTACTTTGTGTTCTACAGAACAGCCCTCTTGAGTCTTGAAACATCTGTTAAGTTTTATCTATTGATTCTCATTTTGGAAAGAGGATGAGAAGAACATCAGGCAAGGTCAGTAATCTTTTAAATGGTCGTAAAAGCTTGAAACTGCAATCAAACTATGTAACTTTGGGCAAAGAACAATTGAATCACACATACATTCATATTTTTCCATTTTTAGTTCTCTGTTTCCCCTATTTATTTATTTTCCTCAACACTTATGAACTTCATCTTTCTCTTTTAGTTTTCTGTGATCTGGCAAGATAATACTCTCTAAAGATGGATAGCTAGATAGATAGCTGGATAGATAGCTAGATAGATGGGTGGGTGGGTGGATGGATGGATGGAGTAGTACAAAAAAATGTGTGCACTGGCCCTATCGAATCTCAAACCAAACTGCCAGGTTTGCCTTTAGATCTTATTCCAATGCTAATGATGAATTTCAAGATCTTCTGTGTTTAGAAATGCATTTTTATGAGAGAGAGAGTGCGGCCTTGTATGCTTGCTATTTTACTGATCTTCAATAAATCTGTTTGATACAATTGTGCTTCGAGGCAATTACAGTGGAAGCCGGTTAAGCTGGACACGTCAGGGATGGACATTTTGTCCTTCTTAAGAGATGTCTAAGGTTAACCTAAATACCATTCCCTCCAGAGGAGCTGCGGCCGGAATGGTTAAAACACTCTCACAGAATTCAGTAAAATATATTTTCCTTTGATTGCCTGAAAAATACCATCCAGTACTTTCCCGCCTTCAGTGGAGCCCTCTGCAGTGCTCCCTCCCTCCCATTGCTGTTGCTGAGGTGATTGACATCCTGCAAATGATAGGCATGCCACCCATTCACAAGCAGCTCAACTGTCAATCAATAGTGATTTGACTCCTCCCATTCCCTCTTATTTTTCCCTGTTCCTCCGCCCTTTCACTGATTGACAGCCCAACTCCAGCCGCTCGTGAATGGCTGGAGTCCGCTGTCAATTGCAGTTTCACTCCTCCTATCTCCAAACCAGAGCCCCTCATGGCTGACGGCTCGACACACACAAGGCCCGAGTGAGTATATTCAGCAGCTACCAACGCTTTATTTTGTCCAGATTAACTGGATTTTCATCCACATTAACAGGCATATTTAAGACTGGTAAGAATACAAATGAATCAGGGCTGGACGTTTTGTTCGATTTACTCGACATTCAGGGTTAACCGGCATCTGGTAAAAGCAGATTCTACCGTATATCCCTAACAGATGTGCAGTACACCAATCTGACCAAGCTTCCTACAGCAAAACCTCAGGACTGGAAATTGGAAGTCAGTTTATTTTATTTAAACGTTTGAATGCAAAAGATAATCCATTGGAGTCTTGCTCAAGAGAAAGGTTGTTAAATTTTACGATGCTTGAGATTTCGACTTGCCCTGTCAGCACCAAAAAATAAGATTTGTTTCCTGAAAGAATTTGAAAACTACATTACTGTTAAGGGAACCTAACTTGTTTATTATGAAAAAGGTTGAGTCAAAAATCCTCCTTTTGTGGGACGGCCTGCTTCAGTTGATAGCCCGGTCACCTCTGAGTTTGAAGGTTGTGGGTTTCAGCGCCTTGGACGAACTTCCGCCGTGAAAGGTGCTTTACAAGTGTCATTTTGTTGTTATTGTTGTCCATATTGGGACTTTGAACTCTCGTGGTGTAGGCTAGGCTGATACTCCAGCACAGTGCTGGGGATGTGGTGAATTGTTTGAGGCATCATCCTTCAGATGTGATGTTAAACTGAGGTGCTATCTGCCTATTTAGCTGATGTTAAAGATCCCATTGTGGTTCACAAAAAGAGAAGGGAGTTTCTCCCAATATCATGGCCAACAATCCCCAAGATAAAATTGGTTATTCTGATATAGCTGACATGGACATGGTTGCTTCAGTTCAAATTGGCTGCCATGTTTGCCTACAAAATATAAAATCACTCCACAGTAAATGCTGAGAAGTGCTTTGAAATGTCTTCCCGAAGTGAATGGTATTGTATCAAATGCAAGGATTATTAATTGTCATGGTGGAACAGCCCAGTTCTATTTGTTAGGTGATGTGGATTAAACCAGTGTTTGGAGGGGGACAAAAGTATTCATTACTCTTTGATGTCAGTATCTGGGTTAGATTCTCCCCCAATTTGATTCCTTATCTTTTGACGGCACTGACTCTTGCTGTGGTACCGTTGATCGTGAGCTCGCAACTGTCTGGTATTTCAAGTCAGGTGATTCTTCATGTGTGAGCCTGGATAATGATTGTCTGCAAGGTATATGATCCTGGATGCTGTTACAGTCCTGCATGATCCATTTTTTTTTCTCTGGTGTCCACAAACGGTTCATTCCATTAGATGTTGCTGGAGGGTGATTAGCAGTGAAAGCTAGACATTCTTTGCCTCCATAATGTATCACTCGCAAAAGCAAACTCAGCATAATACAGAAACTCACCTTCTGGTCTGTATTGCTTTGTACTGTACTGGCAGTCCTTTAATAATTAATTGTATTCTATTTTTCTAAATCTAATTGGAATAAAAAATGATTATGTTGAACATTACATATGACTCTGGGTAAGTGATCAAACTTATTAATAGCAGCAATTTTGCTAGAATGTATCTACTTGTGCCATAGAAATCCATATTCAGTATTAGAACCATTCTTGTAATAAAATTGTTTGCCCTTGTTTTGCATTTGCAGCTTTTTATGATCCGGATTGAATGCCAATTAATTTAATATTATTTCCCGATGATTATTAGTGATTGCTGCATAAATAGCCGAAAAGACACACTAGCACAAGGCCTTGATAATTAAAGTAAGAATTCATTGAAATATGTCGTGCATTCATAGGAAAGGGTTAACGGTTGACCAGGGCTGGATTGCTTTATTCAGGGGATTGAACACACCGAAACACAGTAAACTATTCCAAAAGTGATATTCTCACATTTCATTTTTTTAAATCAGGTTGCTTCCAACTAACTCCTGATTAGTTGACTTCCGAATTACAAACTATTGAAACCTTATGTACATCAGGGAACATTTTAAGGAGTTTCTTCCTCCAAGAAAGGCTTAATTCCCAGCTGAAAGCGAATGATGCCTTTGGCTTAATTCCAGCATTCCTATTCAATTCAGGAAAGATTTGGAATGTCAAAAGAAAGCAGTAGTTGATGCAGCCCAGCTAAGGCAGTAAGAGCAAAACTTGTTGAAGTTCTACATCATCGAAACTGCTCCGCCTCTAGTGTGAACAAAATCTCAAAATGAAAGATCGTGTTTTGATAGTTATCACAGTGGTAGTACTCAGGTAAATGGAAAACTATTTGTGTGCAGCAGCTGTATTTTGAAAAGCAGTCTTTTGGATTTTATTTGTTGGTTTTACTGCGGCTTAATATGTCGAACTCTTGAAGCATTTGTAGCACGAAACTTCAGCTTGAAGAACGTCATTTCAAGCAGGATTCTATCTTACCTGGCAGCTTACGCCATTACAAAAAACTCTCCACAATATTTGCTTGAAGTATGGAACAAACTAGATGTGTGTTTCCGAGTGAAGACTAATTGATTCTACACAAAGGAGACCTACTAACAAACGTTCATTTTTACTTCTGTGAATTTTGTACTAATTGGAAGTGAGTACCTGGGATTTGGACAGCTATGGCAACACTGTATTCCAGGAATAAGGACCTTTCAAGGAGCAGGAAAATGCAACCAGAGACACCCCCTTGCTCACCTTCACCCACCAGCAAGACTTTCCGCGTAAGAGAACTACACTGACTTTCCCTACAGAGCTCTGGTATAGTAATAAAACTAGCCGAACAAGTTCTAATCAGGAAGGAAGTTGTTTTAAAATAAGGCTGTAATTATATCTTTACTTTGTAACTCAAGTGGAAGTTTTGAAGCAGTTGGGCGGTAATGCAAAAATAGATCCTGGCAGTCTGGCAATTTTCAAAGATGTAACTTCTGGGCAGATGGAGGGTTAATTAAATGTAAGCGCAAGTACTATTAAATTAAATGTAGTTCGGCTATACTTTTTTATAGATGAACTATAGATTTAGACTATTGTGAAAAAGAATGTGCATTCAACTAAGCCATTTCAGTGACTTATTTTTCTGCCACAGGATTTGTTTTTAGTCCTTTTTACAGCTGGAGGTTTTGATGATTGTATTGAATGATTTACCAGTCTATAGGGAACTGTGAGCATACAAATCAAATGCACTTTTTTGTAAGTCTGACTTTCATGGTTCTGTTTACTGTTACATTCGGACACATCTGACCTCAGGCTTTCCTTCTGAATAATTGGCACTGACATATATGTCTGTGTGCCTGCGGGATAAGCCAAAGTAATGGTCTTAAACTAGTATATTAAAAGTATTGCTGTGCAGCAGAGTGGCTAATTGGTGAAACATTTAAAAAAGAAAATAATGGATTTTGTTTTTGTAGCCAATTGTACCCTGTTTCATTTAATGCCAATTCTAATTGTGTGGCCTCTTAACATATAGAGGAATGGTTTGTGGAAAGTTAGCACAAGAGTGAAGTAGTAATTAGCAACAGCTGTTGTGCAGCTGATGTGCTGCCGGGTAGTGTGCAAGGGAACCTAGTTTGGGGCCCAGAGAAAGTTTGCCAGAAGAAAATAGCTTGAACTATGAACTACAAAACTTTTTTTAAAAAAAGTTTTTATCATACCAATGGAAAGTACCAAATAGTTGCATTGTAAACTGTATGGCATCAATTCAATTTGTCTTATTCCTTGAATATTTTCAGGTGAGAAATCTAATTTATGAAACTCAAATACTGTTTCGCATGGGATCTGATATTATTCTGTGATGCATTTTTTTTATTGCTTCTAGTATTTTATGTCTTATAATACTTATATTTCTTATAAAACCACACGATTTTTCATGTTACTGGATTTGCCAGTTCAATGATTTAAGGTCTATACACTTCAATAAAAAAATCCTGAATAATTGGTAATGGCAGTTTTTGAATTAAGCAGATTACGATTTACTGTATTTCTTGGAATTCCACAGATGTGGAGATATTAAACAGTTAAGTTTAAGATTAAAGAAAGTATTACATTATTCTGGAAAAAGATAAAATTCAGATAAAGAATTGCTATGTAGTCCAAATCAGAATGAGAAGAGCCAAAATGTCGGGCCAGTTAAAGATATAAAACTGATCATTCATATAAACTGATTTAATACCATATTTTTAAAATTCTGTGTAGAAGCAGTCAATGACAAATGTTCTCATATTTTAGCAAAACCCGATTTCTGGTTAGAACTTTATGATCCCCTTCCAGTGTTTTGTTTTCTCTCCATATCCCTCCTCTCTTGAAAGCTGTGACTCATTTTGGGATATTGCCCTACTATACCACATGAAGTAGGAGTATTGATGGCATCTTTAACAGTGGAAACCTTTGTTTCGAAAGACCAATTTGTCCTTATCTCACATCCACCCACGTGTGCACTTTCAGTCGGGTTGCAATAACAGAGACGGAAATCTTGGCCATTTTCTTTTCCCCTCAGAATTTGAAGCACATTGAGATCCTTTCACTAAAAGTACATCAAAGTCCAGTCATTTCACAGTTGATGAGCAAGAAAGGACTTGCAATTGTCTCAACACGAGACAGGCTTTGTGCTGATTCTAAAACTTGGATGTAAAAACTTTAGCAATCTTAATGAGTTCTTTTCTTGCTTTTGCGCTGAAGAATGTTGTTTGCAATGATGACAGCAGCCAGGTAAGGAAGATGGCTAGCCTCCATATTGTCACCTATTACATTGTGGCAAAATATTTGTGAGAAATACAATAAACCATTGAAGTAAGAGGAGCATACCAAGTACCAAATTTAGATCACATCTTTTCAAGTGCTGAGAAGCAAGTATTGGGAGGTTTCTCGTTTTAAAAGATATGTTTCATCTAGGCAAGCATCATTTTTATAAAAATACCTGCAAAACTGAAGAAAAATGAGCTCCCAGCTCACAAGCACTGTCTGTAGGCAGGCATTTTGACAATGAAATAGCATTAGCTGCTGCCCTTATTAAGACGGAACGACTGTTCACGATGGTTTATTTGCTGAACACTGCATGGAAAGGCTCGCTTGAAATGAAAACACAACTAAAAGTTGAAATGCATCAAAAAACACTATTACTTTGCGAATGTTTTTGAAACTATGACTTTGAGTGTACAATATGACTGAAGCTACGACTTTTTTTAAAGGGTAGCGTCTCTGGGAATGATTATGAGGCAGCCTTATAAACCGCATGACCAAGGCTCAGCCATCCTTAAATCCCACCCCCGCTCCATTGTGGTTTGATTTTTTTTGTGTGGTTTATTCTGTGAGCTCCATTTTTCAACTTAAGTTGGTACTGTAATATGTTCACCAAGAATAAATCACAGATATAACTGCTGCTCATGGAATTATCTAGTTAATTTCTCAGACTTTCTGGACAGTGTTGTCTCTGCAGGAAAGGAGATTAGTGTGAATGGAAGGGATCATTTGATAATGGGAAAGAGAAAACAAATAGTGAAATCTCAATTTTGTAAAAATCATGGAATTCAGATTTTTTTTACCAATAAGAACGACCATTATTAATCAGTTAAAGGAAACCAGAATGTGTTCTTGGAGAGTTTAATAATGTTCATAAGATGTGAGCATAATCTAAACTGAAACTAATAAAAAGAATAATTCTTCCAAGTACATAAAGCCAATAGCAAAATTCGCAGTGTACAATCGACTCAAACTGGAGTGTAAAAGTGCAACAAATAAAAATAAACACTAGGTACTTTTGTTTGTATGAAAAATACTCATACTCAGTCAATCTAGAACTTAAATTTGTCTTAATTGCTTCAAAATAAAGTAATTTAAAAAATAATTAAGTTGGCCTTGACGAGAGCAAGCATGATTCCAACCCCCAACATAAAGTCAAATAATGGTCAAATTTGGTATGAGAATATTGTTTTCACGCTACTGTACTGAGTTACAATAATATACTTACCAGTATAGTCGTATGGAAAAATATGACTGAAAACAATCAGTATAATCTGATATAAATCCACTGATTAAGTTGGAACTGTGCCTATCGGTTTGCCACAAATTTAATCAAAAGTCTTTGATATCTTGTTTCCACTGTTAAGATATCAAATTCTATACATTTGTGAAAATTAAGAAATTCTCTGATTGCTGTTCTGTGAATACTTTCTTTAATTATTCTGACATTTGAAAGATATTTTGTGCAATACTTAAATTGAAAAGTCTGCTTACAAATTTCATTATTGACCTGATGTGAGAAGAAGGTTCCCCCTGCTCATGAAAAATATCTGTCTCCTCAAGTTTTGAAGCCCTCTTTATAAATGTGTTACATAATACAGTAAATTAATTTTGTGCTTCAGGCTCTATGACACCGAAGGCCATTCTACCCTGTGTATTATTGTGTTCTCCTATAAAACAAGTTATCCTCTTCCCCATGCCCTCTAATAACTTTCTTACACCTGTATTTATCTGATTTCCTTTTGAATATCTATATTTAGCAATTTGGAATATTTGCTCCATGATACACTGGGAGATGACAAAAGTCCAAAATTATTTTGTTCTGTTATTCCTAAATTATTGTTTTGTTACACCCAAGTCATTAAACCGCCAGCTATAATTGTCATTTTTTTAAACAATAATGTTAACAATTTTTTTCACGGTTGTGGAACTTTGCTAATTTTGCCATTTTGCTAAAGATGCTATAAAAAATAAAATAATCCCGATTACAAATTTGAAGTATACATACATCATTAATCTTCTATCATTTTCTTTTAAAATGCATCCCACAATCTTTTGTGTGTTTTTTGAATTAAAAGAAGCTATTGCAGCGAATTTTAATTTGTATGGATAACAAACTTGAATTTCTAGTCTGTCACGGGTGCACTAGGTTTCCTACAGACAAACTGCGTGCGATCTGTCCTCAAAACAGTAGAAGTCTGCTAACCCCTACAAAGGTTCCATTTGCTCTTTTGTACTCATGTAAGTAATTAATTCTCACTTCCTTCATCCCAACTATAATTCTTTTCTTGATAACTGACTAAGCAGGCTTACTTGATGAAGGTTTGACTTGGATTAATTTCCCCTGATTATAGAATCATAGAATTTTACAGCACAGAAGGAGGCCATTCGGCCGATCATGCCTGTGCCGGCTCTTTGAAAGCGCTACCGACTAGTCCCACTCCCCCGCTCTTACCCCATAGCCCTGCAAATTCTTTCGTTTTAAGTATTTACCTAATTCCCTTTTGAAAGCTATTATCGAATCTGCTTCCACCATCCTTTCAGGCAGTGCATTCCAGACCAGAACATTCTTTTTTGGTTAAATTCAAATCTTGAAAAACAACTATGTACTTTAGCTAGATAGATCCATAATGATATGGAGATACATATTTCTCACATCCATATTATCCTTGTTGCACTTGCATTGTTGCTGAATGAATACTGTAAGAATATATTCAGCCAAGCTACAAATTGTTATTGTTATCTGTTTTGTAATTGATCATGCAAGTTTCTGCTCTTGCAGTGTAATTGGGGCAATAATACATTGTTTGAAGGTAAATTGCTTTCTTCAGAAAATGAAAACCATGTTATGAAATCATATAAAGGGACAGACACATCGTTGAATAAATTGCCGCCACTCATTATTTCAGATCAACCACACTGCTGGTAATGAATTGTGTTCAACAACCAAAATAGTGTATACAGTAGTGCATGTGTGGGTGGCGGTGGGGGGAGAGAGTGAAAAGTACTTTCATTAAAATTACCCTCCTCACAAGCATTACCATCTTGTCTTGGTAAGAATCCAGCCTTGGCTGGTACTGACTCTTGTTTATGCGAGAGGCCATTGGGGTAGGCGATGGTTAGGACTTCTGGTTGAAACCTGTGGCAACTGACTGGACATGGAATCATCAGATATGGAGTAGAGCGTCTTTTTGGCCAAAAGATTTGACCTCGTTGGCTTCCAGTTTCTTGCATCTACAACCAAGTAGGCAACATATCTATTCTCAGAGAGATTCTCTATGACTTTCACAGCATTTATGAGGGAAGTGTTTTAGATTAGAAGAATTCCGTCATAAGGTAATGTGCCCCTTGATGTATAACCTGAAAATAAATATAGGCATTGTATCATAAAATCAACAATAGTTTTCATGAATTATAGATGTTTAGCAGTGTTTTCATAACTTTTTTGTTTTTTTATTTCAGCATGATCGACTTTCTAGGTAAGACTATACTGATACTTCTCTCAATTTTTTTATTTAAACATAAAGTGTTTTTGGTCAAATATTTGTGTTTTTCAAAGTATATGATTTGTGAGAATAGCCAACACAACTCAAAGCAAATTTGCCCTGTGACAATATTCTTTGGTATTATTTTTTATGACAATCCTGTTGTAACGTGCCTCACTATTGTGCCAATTCAATTATAACTTGGCTGTCATGGGATCTGTGTCCGTGGTTGCCAGCTTTCACTTCGCGGGAAATAGCAGCAGCAGCCATTTTACAGGAAATGCTATCAGCCGCATATATAGAACGTCACCAGTCGCCATTTTAAATTTGTACCACGGTATAATTTGAAATTCAAATTTATGAACTAGTAATAGCCCATTATGATTGGGTTCTTCTGTGTCAGGAATTGTTGATAAAAAAATTTTGACCATTGTTTTTTGACCATACTCAATAGTTCCATTCTGCCTATAAAAGCTGCCATGAATAAACGCTTTTGGTATAATGATTTCACGGTAATCTACAACTTTAATTAAAGGTCATTTCAGGGTGAAGAAAGGAGAGTTATGAAATGTACTGAATGAATCATGATTTGAGCTGCTGGCTCAGTAATTCTCATGATCCTTTTTTAAAGAAGCACACAGTTGTGTATCTGCATTTATTCATCTTGAAGATCTATCCTAATATAATTATTGTAGTTAAGTATAAGTATTGTAGTTATTCAACTATAACTACAATTTTCAATTTTTACTTGACCTTTGAAGACGAAAGCTTTATATTTGCTGTGTGCTGGTACTTGAATGTCCTTTAACTATATTTAAATCTGCAGTTAACCAGATTGCTCAATCTGCTCTTCAGTGTCTGACATTGGGTTAATGTTGACTTTTATGTTTAGGTTGGATTCAGGATCGTCAAGTGAGAGTTATGGTGACCGGTTGTTGAGTCGAACCAGTTCTTACACACGTAGGGAGAACCGCCTGGCATCTCTTAGTAAACTAGATCAAGACGATGGCACAAAGAATTATAAAAAGGTAGACAATGATGTATTTGACTTGAAATTTTTCCTGAAATATTTGTAGCCTTGTATAGATTTTTTTAGTGTATTCCTAAAAATTTAAATACTTGTAGTGTATTTATTTATTGTATTCCTGTGTATTCATGACATTGGTAACACTTTAGGATGCCTTGTGCTGCCCAGAAGTGAATGCAAAGATTATTATTATTAAGTGATGAGACCTAGGACCACACAAAATCCTCTTTATGGTGAATGCGCTTAAAGCAATTTGATTTTTGTGATACTCTCTTGAGTAGTTTCTAGGGTTTAACAGCTGGTTGTTGTTGTGAAATGTTTGTCCACTTACCTATCTGCAGTTGTGCAAACTTTGTAATCCCTGCCTTTCACCTTCCGTTTGGCACGAGGAAAACTTGGTTGCAGCCTATGTCCAGTTTACAGAGCAGCAGAAACAAGGTTTAACCAGCGTGGTCCAACTGGGCGCATCCAGGCTGGGCCGAAAGGTGATTTTATTTGGCCTGAGACCATTTCCAACTTTCCAACTTATGCTCCTTCCCTCCCTAGTGAACATCCTCCCATGGCAGTGGCATTAGTTTTACAAATGTTGTTCAAAACATGATATCGAAATTATGCATCCTGAAGTAAAAATATTAGATTTTGAATCACGAATCTTTGAAAATACTAATTTTGATCTTTGTCTTTTTTTGGGGGAAAAAAGTTATATGAAGAGGCTTTGGCTGAAAATGAGAAACTTAAAGCCAAACTGCAAGAGGCACAGCTTGAATTCACTGAAGTAAAAACGCAGCTGGAGAAAGCCACACAGGTTCAGAAAGTTTACAAGAGATTTTAATGAAAAGATTACTTTTTAATCTTCAATCCCATGATTTAAAAAATGTTTGTTTTTGATGATTCAGCCCAAACTAATGTAAGAATTTATCCATTTCAGAAGCAAGAACGAATTTCTGATAAGTCCTCTATGCTGGAGATGGAAAAAAGGGTACGTTAAGGTTTTCCTCAGAATTTGTAAGCATGGAAGAATGAAAGGAAAAACATTACTACTCTAGTTGCTTGCTAATTCTGTGCTTGTAAACACGGTTTAACTGTGTTTAAATCAGCTTTCTTTTGTGTAGCAGAAAGGAAAAAAAAGACAGATTGATTTAACTCTTTTGTCCAGGCCGGTCCCTTTGCTTAGTGAGCATTGGTTTGCTCCATATCTTCTGACCTATCCACCACACAATTGGCGAACAGGTTTTCAGCCATTTTGCTTGCCCTCTCTGGAACTTCATCCTGGGTTCGCTCTGACTCTCTCCCTCCAACAACTTATTCAAGATCCATGTCAAGACATACCTCGCTGATACCCCTTCTATCATCTTTCCCCTCTCCACCCCATTCAGCTTCTACCCCCAACTCAGGTGCCTAACCAATTTGGGAATGCTTTGAGACATCTCCTAGCATAAGGGGTGCTATATAAATGTAAATTTAATTAAATTGGAGATATATTTTCAAGCTCTATAAAGCAGCTTATCAAAAATATTTTGAGTTAAGTTTTTTTTACAAAAAAACTGTTTTGAAAGTTATGGAGTATGATTTCATACAGAACCATTTTTATAGGCTATGTGGGTAATGATGAACAATTGCTCATTGAAACTACAATATGGTACGTCACAGGGGGTCAGGGTATGGGTGGCTTCCACTGTTCCCTGTCGTCAATTTCTGATTTCAATTCTCTCTTCCGAAGCAAGTGCAAGTCAAGGAAGTTGTAAGCAGTTTACTTCAAGTAATGGAAAAGAAAACATTTCAGATACCCTCAGCATCACTTTCAAAGCTTCAAAAATATTCAGATGTAAATCTTCAATTCAAGTCAATTATTAAAGAAAGTAATGAAGTAACACTTTAGGAATGCCTAACGAAATGTTCAGTGGCAGTCTGTGGCATTGAATAACTTCACAAAATGAAGAATTGAAACCTGTATTTGTGCCAAATGCTGGGGTTCCTTAATATGTTTAGATAATTAGCCTAAAACTATTTCAAAGCTGAATAATTTCAAGAGACACTGCTTTCATGAAAACAAGTTTTTTTCCGGATAGGGAGAGAGGAGAGTCATTCCTTATTCTTGTATTCATGATGTCACTGTAATGCTTTTCAGAGAAATTTACATCTTCAATTAAAACATTTTGATGGATGTTAACCATTATCAGAACAAGTGTCTGTCATAATGTTCTGAGATTAATAGTGTGTGTTATACTTTAAGATTTTTACAAAACTCAACTCTTTTTATTAGGCAGTGACAGACCTGTCTTCTCATCTGAAGACAGGGTAAAGTTCCTCTTGATGGTCTCCATGACCAATAGTTACCGACATCAGGGTACTGAGTTAAAAGAAGAGGGGAAAATTGAAATAAAAATAAAACTTTCTAGGATTGAAATACTTTTGTATCTTATTTATTCTAACATAGAGAATATTTTCTCTTATTGTAGGAAAAAAGAGCTTTGGAAAGGAAAGTTTCTGAAATGGAGGAAGAGCTGAAGGTATGGTCCAAATCATATAGCTTCACTATACCGATGACAGTTCTATCTCTTATGAAAGAGCAACTAGTGTGAAATGAAACCTATATTACCTATATCATAAAATGATAAAAAGATGCGTAACCATTGACAGGAATATACCATCATGGGCCAGAAATTCCACTCAGTCGTAGACTGCAAGACAACTTATGCTTAAAATTTAAAATTGGATGGTGTTTTGGAAAATTCTTAAATTTAATCTGAATTTGGAAATTGGGTCATTTCGACAACTGCCGATTGATTACTAGCAATCGGAGTAAGACTGAATTTAATAATATTGCAAAATCTTACATTGTAAGGCATAAAGGTTTTAAGGAGGTGTCAGAATGGCTCACTTAGTAGCACACTTGCCTCTGAGTCAGAAAGTTGTGAGTTCAAGCCGTATGTTGAGACTTTGAACTCATATTCTAAGTTGACACTCCAATGCAGTGCTGGGGCTATGCTGCATTGTCGGCCGTGCTGTCCTTTGGATGAGACTTTAAAAATGAGAACCGTTTGCCTGTTAAGGTGGATGTTAACTTTCCCATGGCAGTATTCGAAATCAAGGAAGATTCTCTTGGTCAACAATTCTCCATATAAAATTGGTCACTCACTTCATGGCTGTTTGTGGGAACCAATGGTGCAAATGGCTGCCGCATTCACCCTCAAGACACACAATCACTCTACTTTGCAGTATATCCTGTGAAGCGCTTTGGGACGTCCTCCTGATGTGAAAAGGGCTATGGTAAATACAAGGAATATTATTATGGGCTAGGTGGAATTTCTAGCCTTATATACTTTATATATTATATATTAATATTAAGGTCAGTCTTATGATATAGGTAATCTCACCTGTTTAACTAGTCATATTATGAGAATGATTTGATCCTTCAGAATTATTCAAGAAGAAACTTAACCTTGAATATAAATTAACAACATAATTCCAGTTAAAATACTGTTTGTGTACAACGTAGATCTGTCAAACCTCAGATCCTTCTTTCCTCAGGTTCTTTTGCCCTTTTGAAATGGCAAAAGATTGAAGAAATATTGAGGTATTTTTGTTCAATTGTTTTGTTTTTCTCTGTTGATTTACCATGCTTTTGACTCCTGTTATTCCTGTGTCCGGTTCTCTGCAGAACCTTCAATAAATAAAGCAGATTTATACTTTGAGGTTTAATTGAGTGTCTGCTGACTGAGAGCAGAACCTTTACCACAGTGATTGATAAATGCTCTTGAGTTTTATGAGTAGTTTGAGACTCGGGACTTGTAACCTTTACCCTCACTTTATGCATCTCTTCCCTTCCACATCCAGACACCTGTTTCTTCTTGTCTGCTCTTTGCATGTGCGATTTTCAACAAGGCAATATCTGGTCTAAATGAGATTTTCAATTTGTAACCGTTGATTATTTGCCTCATCTGACACTCTGGCCCAACATGCGTTTCACTTTTGAAATCATCGTCATATTGAGAATAGTATGATTAGAATTTTTTCTGGAACCTTCATAAAAAAATTCCCACATCCTTTTTTTTAACCATCATGTGCCATCTGTTTTGTTTTGTATCTGTCTAGTGTATAAGTGCGCAGAACACATAATGGTCCCTTAGGAAGAGGCCAGTGATTATTACAAGACGCACAGTACACAGAACAACTGGATAAAGTATAGGAAACTGATCGTAGAACCAAAAAAGGAGATAAGGAGATTTAATAGAGGCAATGAAAAAAGGATAACAGGAACATAAAGAGAAAATTAAAAAAAAATTTATAGACAAAAAATGAGAGGATAATAGGGAAAATCTACTCAAGAGTATGGAGGGTAAAATTAGTTGCGTAGAGGAAGAAAATGACTCATGTATTAAGCAGGTTCTTATACAGTAGAGGGAGTTGTTGAGGTACTGGAAGAGCGGAGGTGGATGAGAAGGAACAGCTGTTAGATATAGATGCCAGTAAGGAAGTGATAGACAAATGGTTTATAAAACATAAAGTGGACAAGTTGCCCAGACCAGATGGGTTTCATCCCCGAATGCTGAGGGAGGTTAAAGACCAAATAGTGGGAGCACTGGCTGAAATGCTTTTTTTTAAAGAAGTCTTGAAAACAGGAAGCAATTCAAGCAATTAGAGGGTGGAAAATATTAATCTCATTGTTCAAAAAAGGAAACAAGAAAAACCTGGAAACAACAGGCCAGCTGTGTCATACTGGTGGTGGGGAAAAATGTTATAGAAATGGTATAGAACCATAGAAATCTCTTAACAAAGAACCTATTGTTGCGGGCCTGTTTGTGGGACCCTGCTGTGCGCAATTGGCTGTTGCGCTTCGCCCACGAAATATACATTCAATTCACTTTACAGTATATTCTGTGAAGTGCTTTGAGACGTTTTGAAGACTTGGATTATGCAAGGATTATTATTAATATTATATAACATCATGTTTGTGTTGGCTCTTTGAAAGAGATCTGTCCAGTCACACCTGTCTCTTTTGCCTGACTATTGCATCCCTTACTCCAGATATCTATCTAGTTCCCTGTTGAAAGTTTCTATCTTTCTACTGCTGAATGTGGACAAGATGGAAGCCGTACTCCTCGGCTCCCATCAATGTCTTCACTCATGGATCTGAACTCCTCAAACTCCCTGGGATCTCCCTCAGACTCACCGAACTAGTGCGCAGTCGAGCCGTTCGGTTCGACCCCCAGCTGTCCTTCCTTCCCATATCATGTCCAGGACCGCCTTCTTCCACCTCCGCCACATTGTTCGCATCTGACCGTATTTACCCCAAATGCAGCCGAAACGCTCGTGCATACGTTTGTCACTTCCCGCCTGGATCACTCAAATCCTTATTGCAAAATGTTTGGATAATTGGAAAATATAGGGGTATTTTTAGTGTGCAAAATTCTACTACTTGTGAACAAAATAACAGAAGTTGGCATTTCTTTCATTTCTGCAATTTACAAAAGCTTCTGAATACATACAATTTTTAGCCTTCCCTGAACCTCAATATATGAAAATTTTGATACATTAACTACTCTAACAAAATAAATAATTCCTCGATAACTCAGAGGGTACTGTATATTGCTAATTGTGTCCTATTGTCACCCAAGTTGGGATCAGTGAGCTAGCCATAGATTGGAGCTCAAACCAAACCAGTGATCTACCTGGTATATATGGCTTGCTTACCACTCTATACATATTCTCAACTATGAGGGGAAGCACAAGGCCTATTTCAAACCAAGGTTCAGCAGCATTCTTCATTTAAACAGTTCTTCAATGTGAACTCTGATAAGTTAGTCTGGTGGGAACTGGAATTTAACAAGTGTTACTATATGAAGCGATTTCATACTCAGTGTGACATTACCTGCTAAAAATAGATGCAGTTCCAAATTTAATCAGTCACCTTGTCTGTCCAAGTGCAGAATATATCATTTAATCACCTTGTGTTATGTATTTTTTGTCCTCCATCATATGAAGGATTTTTTTTATATACAGAGTTAAATATTTGACATGTGTAGTGATATGGAGAATTTTTCACACACAGAGTTGTTTCGATGTGGAATGCCTTTCTAAAAGCGGTGGTTGAGGCAGAATCAACATTTGCTTTCAAAAGGGAACTAAATAGATGTCTTAAAAAGGAGTCAATTTCAGGGGTACGGGGAAAATGTGGATAGATGGGACTGAAGGGATTGCTCTTTAAAAGAGCCATCACAGACGCGATGAGCTGAATGGCCACCTTCTGTGCTGTAAACTTCTATAGTTCTGGACAGGAAACCCTCCTGGAACACGCTCTTTTGAGCTCATAAACCGAATGTTGCTTTATAACAGGGAACAAAGCCACAACAGCAGCTGCAACATCACTTCCTGTGCCTTACACATGCAAGAAATCAGCAACCATACACATGGGTCCAATGATCAATCACATTGTAACAATTCTGAGATACATCTTTTTAATTCATAGAAAGCAAACACCTATGTATGTTACAGTCGGGTTAAACAAAAATGTTTGGGCTTTGTATCTTTTTCTGACTCTGTCAGTCTTTCTCTGTGTATCTTTCTGTGTGTCTTTCTCTTTCATTCTAACTCTATTTGTCTCATCAGTGAAATCCGAGTTACTGTATGCCGCTGTCTCCAAATGTTTATGAAGCACATATAAACCCTGTGGATATAAGGCACCGTTGATTCTAATGCATCCTAATTTGGGAGCGGATTTTTTAAAAAAAACTTTTGAATTGAGTAAATAAAGTATATGTGAGGTGATGTCTGCGTTTTCATAAGGTCTCAATACTTTTAACTGGACACTATATAGCAGCTCAGCATTGAAGTCTACAACACATCGGTTTCTATTTTCCTCCACCAAAGTCTGATTTGTCTATAATTTTAGATTTTTTCCTACTGATGTAAGAATTTGCTGAATTTTATCCATGCCCTTTCGACATTGCAGCTGTTTTGAGCAGAAGCATACAAGAGTCATTGTACCAGACAGAACATTTACAAAGCAACGTAATGCAGCATTTTTTAAAATGTAGAGATGTTGACCTTCATTAAGTGGCTGAAAGGGCAGCTCTTTTGTATGTCGCATTGTTTGTGATTTTGTTATTAACAGTTCACCTTTTCGTAAGAAACAGATAACTGCTGAAAGAAACCCTATGGCCTCTCTCAGGAAATGTTATTATCATCTGAAAGCTTGACGGAAAGTAAATTGCCAGAACAATATTAAGCTTCCAGATTTTAAGGATTAAAATCCAGTAATATAGGGCAGCCACTTGCACAGTTGTGTCAGTTTGATGACTTTAAACTGCTGTGACTGTGAGAATATAATAATAAATTGTAAATGCTACTTTCTAAAGTCGGATCACTTGAGAAAATGAACTGCATTATGTTTACGATTCTTCTCTGCATTTTGGTTAGTATTTATTATTATGACACTTCCATTGTTTAAAATTATTGAAAGTTTACACCTTTATGTTTTTTTTAAACCCAAGTCCTGTTTTTAATGTTAGAAAAGAAATTCAGTTATATTTTTCATGAATGTTTACTAACAAGGGGACGGATGTTATTGCTTATGGTGAAATGTAAAGTAAAGCTCATACTCTGTCCCGAATTATACCTGACATTAAAAGCATCACCCCCTGTGCATCAGTGAGTCAATTTTATTTTCCACAAAAAATGTCCTTGGAGACTGAGTTAGATTCCTAATTTAGTGCCAAATTAGGGACAGCTATGCCACTAGGAATTGAGAGTATCTGGACTTCATTTGCAAAGATCCGGTATGGACTGGAATCAAAGCCACCTTCCAGCAGCAAAAGAACAATACGTTACATACAATCTGTTACACCAAACTAATATCCCCTTACATCCATTATGCCAGGCTCCACTGGCTCCCAATCACCAAACGGATCGATTTCAAGATCCTCTCACTTGTTTTCAAATCACTTCATTCCCTTGCATCTCCCTTCCTATCCAACCTGCTTACCCTCCAACCCACCACCTGTTGTCTCCACTCGGCTGGCTCCGACTCCTATTTGTCCCTCGTTCACTATGCTCCACCATCAGTGGCTGTGCCATAAGCCACTACGCCCCGAAACTCTGGAACCCTCTCCCTCAAACCCTCTGCCTTGTCCTTCCCCACCTTTAAGTCTCGCCTAAAGACCTTCCTTTTTGATTGTGATTGTCAGACTCCGCCACTATATGCGCTCCGGGACGGAGGCTATATAAATGTAAGTTAGTGTTGTTGTGTGAAGTTATTGCTCATTTCTAATGCTGTTGGCATTCTGTATCAGCACTTTACTGATCTTGTGAATTTGCAGGAAAATGTGTTTTGGTTGCACAGAAAGGAAAACTTCTTTTAGTCGGACAGAAAGGGAAACCCATGACCAAACTGGAATAACTTGATTTGGTCGGTGCTCCTGTTAAATTCTAAATTATTTTGTGTTTCCAGGATCACAAATAGTCCTAACACTCAATCACTTCTTGATGTAATCAGAGAGGCTCATGCCTTTCCAATTACATCATGGGGTGATTGAGTGTTACAAAACAATAAATCAGTTAAAAGTGATCTAAATAGCATAGATTCCATATGTTTGTTGTATGCCCCAAATGGCAGGCATAACATAAAATGATCAAGTGTTTGGAGAAAAAAAGGAAAAATTGTAGCACATTTAATGCAGAAATACTAAGTCGGGGGATTTATTTATAGTTATATAACTTGCATGTAAGGGGATATTGACACTTTATAAGACAATTTAATGCATCCTTACTTGGCCTAAAATATTATACATTCAGTCAATAACTGGAAAACATATGGAGTCAATCATTAGATTCAGTGAAAGCCAAATAGAAGATTATAAATTGCCTAACAATGATAAGATAGACCAGATCTACCGTTTCTGAAGCTGAGCAAGCTCACAGAATTGTTGAGGATCCAACATCTCATTAATTGTGGAAAGCCGTAAGACATAGTGTATCAAGAAGTCTAAAAGGCCAGTGCCAGAGTACCTCATGAAAATAACTCTGTTATAAACTAATGTTGCTGTATCCTGTTCTGTTTATTGAAATATAATGCAGAAATATGACAGTCTGGGTCATCTATATATAGACTTTCTTAGATGGATTACATTGTAATCATTATCTTGGGAAACATTTCAATCACCAATACAGTACTTGCTCCTAAGATTTCTTTATTACATTTCAGAAACGCTTTGTAATTTTTCAAAATCTAGAAAACGGCAATTCAATTGGTTTAAATCGTTTTACGAAAGTACCTCTAATACATGTCCACATTCCCACGTAAACCTTTGTTTGCCAGAGGAGAGAAAAGACATTTTGTTAGTATTGCAAATGAATCTTGGCATTGTGTGATGTTGTTCATTGTGATAAAATACCATTCCAAATAAGTGCTTTGATTCTTGTGGAAGGACAGAAGAGCCCACCCCATCAGTTTCTTAACATGGCAGACCTCCAGAATGACTTATTAGGGCATCTACTTCAGTCTGCGTTTTCCCTGAAAACTTTGTTGCGATTGGTTTATCATCAAATGTTCACATATCCAAGCTATGAAAGTCAAGAATGCCATTTAATTTACTTTTTTTTAGCGTAGGAAAGTCTCTTACACTGTCTTATAATATACTTCTGTATAGTTGTGATGTGAATTTCCACTCAAATTACTCTAACACTTAAATTGTCTCCAGAAATAATATTGGATGTAATGTACAATTACTGGTCTGTGAAGTTATTCATTTTTGACGAATTGGGTTGCCAGTTTTCTCCCCTTCTGTTTCCTCCTCCTCTGAAAGATGCTGACTCTTGCTGGTTTATATTTGCAGGGTGGCTGGAAACCCTGAATTACCATATCCAAGTGGTAATTTCACAGCCTAAGCCTAAGAATGTCAGCAGAGTATTGAACTGTGGAGGTATCACTGCCTATCCCAGCGAAACAGTTTTAGTTCAAGGATATCTCTGAAAATGCCTTGCAGTGCCTGCATCATGGGCAAGAACCATGACAGAATTTCTTTCTCTCTCCACCTCTGGTGCGCAAGGGAGCTAAGGCTAATTGTAGGGTGCCAGGATCCCTAGCTGAAACCGCCTAACCCAGCACAGAGTGGAAGCATAGAAGTGTAGAAACTTTCTGCATAAAAGGAGGCCATTTGGCCCAAGGTATTTGTGCCATTGCTACCTGTTAATAATAATATTAATAATCCTTGCATTTGATATAGCGCTTTTTACGTCGGGAGGACGTCCCAAAGCGCTTCACAGAACACACTGTAAAGTGAATTGACTGTATATTTGTGGGCGAACGCGGCAGCCAATTGCGCACAGCAATGTCCCACAAACAGTCGTAGATTGAAAATGACCAATTTATTATTGTTTTGTTTTGGAGGGATTATTATTAGGCTCTGTGTGGAGTAAGGAAACTTGCCTGGAATTGAACTCAGGTCTCTCGCTTGCAAAGCGAGTGCTCTAACCACTGAGCTACAGGACTCTGTTGCTCTGAATCACTTTTTTTGACTTCATCCAATCTTTCGCTTCTCTATATTCCTTAATAGTTTACTGCTCAGATGCTTTTAAAGTTGGAAGAGTTCAGAGAGCATTCACCATTTTAAAACTCACTTTTCTGCCCACAGGTTTTAACGGAGCTGAAATCAGATAACCAAAGGCTGAAAGATGAGAACGGAGCTCTCATCAGAGTAATAAGCAAATTATCAAAATGAAGAAGAATCTGTTTGGGCAAAGAGCAGGAACAGAAATCAACTGAGAACGAACCTGCTTTGCTCTGTAATAGAAGCATCACCACACAAAAGCGGTTTCTTCAGCAAAGGGGAAAGAGCTTGCACTTGCACCCTGTCTGTTCATGGCTTTCTCCCTATATTATTTTCTTTAAAGTTACATCAGGTTGCAACTGCAAGGCTTTAAGTGATTCATTAAAATGACCTTGTTTACAAGAAATGTTGGGGCAAAAGAACGGAACTAAAAAAAAACACGCGCAAGTACATGTTTATTGAGGGAAAGCTTGCAGCTTTATCACAATCAAGCCACATTCTGTAGTGTTTCAGATATGGCTTTAAGAAATGCCTTTCACTACCACAGCTGCTCCAAGTGCTGTTAATTGTGCACCTCTATTTGCCTGCTGCACATTGGGAAGGATGCTCCTGCTGCACAGTATTCACTCAGAGACAGCTCTGCACAGTAATTAAAACCACTGCAGAAACTGGCTCTTGTATTAAGATAAATTCCATCAGCTAGACTGTATGGTACAGAAAGTATTAATTGTACGTGCAATATGCTCTTATTTTTAACGTGATGCTCGTATCAAGTTCAGCTGCCTTCCTTTCACTTTATTTCCGTTACCTTCATTTTAAGCAGTGTATTTTAATTCTTCCCTCATTTATTTTCTCTCTAAGTTTTGAATTGGTTTGTTGTGAGTGCTTTGAAATGGTCAAATTGCTTTTGGTCGTGTCTTTGTGACTGTGTGAAGTTAAGTATTTGTACTAATGAGGGTCACAGCTCTGTGGTCGTGTTTTCCCAGGAACGGTTGTTTAAAGTTGAACCTGATTCAGATTAAGTGTTTAAAAGGGCTGTTTTAAAAGATGAATTTTAATGTAAGGTTGTTGGTTTGCATTTTTCTCTCAAGACACTCCACTTTTTTTTGCTTTACTTCTATTTCACAAGAGGCTAACTTTAGGTCATACATTGTTAACTTTATTATTCTTTTGACTATACACTGATAAGGGATGTAGCAAGTAAATGTAGGCTCAGACATCTACTGTATTTACTCTTGAAATTTTCACTGATGCATGAATCATATACTGTATTTTCATGTAATGCTACAGGAACTTAAAACAAAATGGTACTTTTCTGTAGATAACAGCTCCTTATAAATACAATAGTGTTCAGGGAAGGAAACCATCCAAAGACTTAAGATATAGTTATTGAAAACTTGATGGAATACAGATGTGAACATATTTGTACAGTGCATTCCACCGCTAAAATGTCTGGTACAGGCAAAGGCAATAAGGTACTGTAATTCAAGTAGCATGTATAGACCAGTGGTACATACATTCAAGGTTATCAAGTTTAGCCTGTTTCTAAATGGTCAGACCTACATGTGGCTTAAAATGCTTGGCCTGATTCTTATTTAAAGATTATTGTGTAACATGGGTCTTGCAGTAGTCGCTGCTTCTGAACAGAATACATATGATCAAAAGTAATAGTGGTCTTTTATGCAGTTAAAACGGCTATGTACATATGAAGTCATAGGAGGGTTAAAACTAAATGATCAGATTGCTGGGAATGTACTTTATGCAACTGTTGGTGGCCTTTTAAAAATGTAATGAATTATGCTATTAGATATCTTTTAGTGTTCTCATTTGAACATATCTATCATGTTTTGAGAAAATGTACACAATATTTAATGCTTGTAAACACATCTGTATTTTATGGTTAAGTAGACCACTGAGATCAACGTTTGAAATGACATTGTACAGCCATTGTTTGTAAATTGAAAACGACTAAACACATCACCTTTCCAAATGCTTATATTAAATGTGAGTCTCTATTGCTCTGATAATACAGTGAGTGTGTTATGTTCTTATGGCGCTATCTGTTCTAAGGTTGGGAGTACTGTATTTTACATGAAATTTTGTTTTGTGAAAGGGTTTTGTGCAGATACAAGGTAAAATTGTGTACTTATGACTCTTTAGAAACGCCATTCGATTTACATTTGGCTAAGATAAAATAAACTTCGGACTTAATACAAGTATGCATTGTAATTTGCTTGAACCCAGTTCAGTGTACTTCTTTAAAAGAATGTACTTATCACCTAGTGGGTGATAGGTGATGAAGTCAACCTTCGGTTACAGCCTTTTGAATGTTTTTTCCTGCTAAGATTAATGTTATTTGTAAAATGGTAACGGCTACCCTTTACTCACAAATAAAATCACAGAACACATATTTTTAGATCCATTACAAGGGACATAATGTGCAATTCCGGATTTGACTTTCCCTAACATATATAGTTAGGTCTGACTGACCCAAGTGGTTTAAAATGAAGACTCAATTTAGAAATTGTAAAGTGGTTCTGTTCCACGGCTTGTAGTAATAAACAACTGAACCTGGCAATAGATTTGTCGATTTAGAAATGTGGTTATCTTAGATATATGCATTCAAGGCATTCAATCATTGCAGATACCCAATAAGAACCTTCTTTGTTGCCAGGTTAAGATGTTGTAGATTTTGGTTAATTTCATTGTGAAAAATTGCACAATAAAATTAAATGTGACCAATTTTTGGTTGGGTTTGATTCCTCTAAAATTCCTCTTTTTTTAACTGGTCTACCTAGATGGAGTGATAGCCTGCTCCCAGATCACCACCAATACTGTATGAAACCAGTCACTAAAATACACTGGAGCAGCCCAGGGATAAAACCCACTTGTTACTTTGCCTCTGTGGGATGCACTTTTCCTCTGTAAGTGCCTTCTCACTTGTGTGGCTGAAAAGTCTGTATATAAGTAACAAAGCAAACATTAGAAGGATAATCCTTTGCTGAGCTTTTCTACAAATGTGGCAGTTTTTTTTGTTACAAAAATATGTATTTTAATAAAGGTTGCACGTGTTTTAAAATAAATGAGATAGTGTGTTTATTAGAAAGATCAATATTTGTAACGGCTTTGCGTGAGATGCAGTTGTGTTTTGTGAAAGGTCATTCTTCTGGTGTGCTTCTGACTGTTTAGAAACACCGTTAGATTTAGAAATCCTTAAAAATAGTACCTAAAGATATGCTTTGGATTTACCAAAAGAATGCTTAAAACGTACCTAACCCAGTTTTGTGTATTTCATTTTTTTAAAAAAAGTACTACTTAGTAAGTAAATAGTGAAGCCAACCTTTGCTAACAACTTTTAACATGTTTGTCCGTATTTTCTTTTGTGAGGGATATCAGCTATACAAGGTTACGGTAGTCAGAAACTAACGGGTTATTTTGTATATAACCATGTAAGGTCATTGAGAGGGAGTGTAACGAAGGACTATAAAATGCTAAGTGCGATTGAGAAAATAAGTGCAGACCTCTCATCTCAAATTTATCAAGACAGCAGAGTCAGAGAGCACTGGTTCAAGGTTGTGAGGCACAAGCTCTTCACACAGAGGGCAATTAGTGATTGGATTAAATTTGCGGGAAAAGTGATATTGGACTAATTTAAGAAACCGCTTGATGTTCTAATTGGTACTTGGTAAGGCGGGTATGCTGATGAGATCAAGTGAGCCGAAGGACCTTGTTTGTCTGTATCTCTAGTAAAAAGTAGCTGTAGAATTTAAGCTGTGCGGAAAGGTTGGTGATGCTTGACATTTTCTGTTTTGAATATTGATAACTGAAGGGACTCGCGAGAGGTATTTAAGATGACAGTGGAGTCTGAAAATTTGAATTCAGATTTTTTCTGTTGTGTGCAAAATTCAAGAATAAGAGTAAATAGCTTCACAACAAGGAGACCAGAGAGCATAGGAGAGTTTTCAGTGTAACAGTGATAAGCATGTGGAGCAAATTTACTAGCACAGATGGTGGATCAAGAAACTACAAAGGTGTTCTCACCAAATGCAAGGTTTCAAAGGTGTTAGTTTTGGAGATGAATAAAACAAGGAATCTTGTGAGAAATTGGATTGATGGGCAAGATGGTCTGATTGAATTATTATTTTCTGAAAGTGTTAGGATTTATGGATAAATACCAACCATTCCCATGTGCCCACACATTCTGTTAGTTTCTGACTACTCAGTTGAAGGTTTGTTGCCCTTGCTCCCTAAATACCCGCAAAACTAATAAGTTGGTGAATTCATTTTATATTGCTTGTAACAAACAAGAATGAAATCATTTTGTAGAATTTGTCACCGATTGAGGTTATCCGAAATTACATTTTCCAAACTGCAGATGTGTGGAGTTGAGTACAAAAGACAGCATGAATCTTGATCCAGTGATGTGATATTTACTGTCAATTCTGGAGTAATTCTGTAAGTGAGGCTTTTAGGACATACTGCTAATGGTGCATTTAGGTTGCAGCGGTTAAATGCTTAAGAAATTTCCTCCCACTTCTCAAGGCAGTAGGTTCCTCAGTGGTGTTAGGTGTTAATCATTTCTGGCTTTGGCAAGCTTCCGTACAAGCTATTGATGTGGTTTTCAAAGTGTTGGCCTGTGCAGATGTTCTTCATGCAGAGAAGTTCTACAGCCAGAAGATCATGGGAAATTCATGACAAACAACTGTTGGCTTGTGGCGATATGTTGCCCCCAGTTGCAAAGGAAGAGTTACAATACAAAGAAATAATTAGGGTACAGCGGTGCAAATTAGATCATTTGTAATTGGAATCCTAAACCCAATATCTGAGGCTATATCGGATGCAAGGGGGATGGAATTTTCCCCCATAGGCTGGGGACACTTCCCTTTCCGAGGTCCTATAATAAGCTGTTGGACCTAATAGTAACACAGCTCAGTTTATTACCTCAACTGCAGTCAAAGTGATGTGTAGTTTTGGCATTCGTGTATGCACTGTCACATTTATACTGAATCAAAACCAGTTTGGGCTGACTGTAACTGCACTACTGTTTGTGGAACCTGCATAAACACCTCCCTCCACCCCTCCCAGAATGTTAGAATATAAACAAGCACATGATCTAGTCGGCACAGGCACGATGGGCCGAATGGCCTCCTGCGCTGTATAATTCTGATATAATTCAAAATCTGAAAGTAGAACCTCTTCTGTCTTATTTTTTAGAATTGGCAATGGACATGACAGCATTTAGTCCCTTGTCTACACAGGAAAGCCCCATTTGTTTGAAGGAGTGAAATAGCCTATTGCCATGATCTTGTCGAATGGCGGGGCAGGCTCGAGGGGCCGAATGGCCTACTCCTGCTCCTAATTTTTATGTAATTGATTGTGGTGGATTTTGTCACCAAAATAACAGGAGCTGTAAGAAATTGAAATTAACAGCAGTTTAAAGCGTTGTAACCCATAAAGGAATTTTATTCAGCTCTCGCGCCTGTTATTGAAGAGCAAGTGAAATTGTGATACAGCGATTAATTACTTTCTTTACTTTCATTATAATGAAAATTGTAGGAATCGACAGCAAAACAAATTGCGTTTATAAAGCGCCTTTACAGCGGGAGGATGTCCCAAGGCGCTGTAATTGATTACCAATGCAACACTAAAGGTAAATTCTTACGAAAACAAACTTTCCCAGTTGAGTCCTTATTTTCTGAGATGACTATCGTGATCATTACAGTAATGGGGTGGGGGGAAAAACTTGGGAGTCACTTTCATTATTCCCTGGGTATCATTGGCTTAAGAACCCACACTGCTGATGCTTGTGTGATGTAAGTAATGAACCCAATGTTATTATGCAGCACAAAGCATCAGACCTGTATGAATGGAAAAGGGATGAAGGATTTCCAGTGAATATCTTCTTTATAAAAAAAATAATTCTTTTGTGGCCTACAAAGTTTTTAAGGTGAGTAAATGGGATTTTGCTTTTATTTCCCTGCCTGGCAACTATTAAGCTGAATTTTAAGAATCTTACACTGTTCAACTTTAGATCAGTTAATGGATTGGGCATGATTGCATTTCCAATCTGCTGCACATTGTGTTCTGGTTTGCCACAGAAGGTTGGCATTGGAGTCTGATACTGATGGAAACACATCGCCCTTTGCAACTGCCTTTGACATCCCAGTGTGGAAGTTTTTACTCAGAACTAAAACTGAAGTGAGGAATTCTGCACTGTTTACGTGTGTCCTTTTGATGTAATTCAGCTGCACAGTATATCTTGTGAAGTGCTTTGAGATTTCTTGCAGACGTGATAAGGCGCTGTATCAAATGCAAGGATTATTACTAAATTCATAAATAATGTGAATTAGTTTCGCACAAAATGTACAAAAGGTCACTTGTACCTCTCGGATTGAATTGTTGAACCGTTGAATTGTTGAACAATTAATGAATTAGTTTCAGCTATTTTAAAAATATCCGTCTGGCAAACCAGTAATCACTCAAAGTAAATTTTTCAGGCACTTTGGTATTTCTTTAATATTTGGCAGAATCCATAGCTGATGGTACTCATGGGCAAAATCGAGTTTTCAGCCTTTCTGCCTCTGCTATCTGGGACTCCATCCTGGAGTCCCTCCACCCCCCCCCCCCCTCCTTCCCCATCTTTAAAGCCCATCTCAAAACATTTCTGTTTGACTGTGCTTTTGGTCACCTTTCTCTTCCCCCATCCTGAGCTCGACCTCCCAGAGAGTCAACTCTGCCAAGCGCTGTGAGACGTCCTCCCATAAAATTGTGGCTGGTGTGGATGTTGGTTACCTTTTATGTGTGTACGAAGTGTGTATGTTTTAAACCAATAATCTTCAATATAATTTACACCTACTGACAGGATTTCATAATGAAGTTTATTTATTGATCCCTGCATTGAGATAATACCACGTTGCTAGTTAAACTGTATTTTGTCATTAGTACGAGCTGAGTATATCTTGTATCTGCGTAAAGCTCACTTGAGTAAAACTGTTAAGAGTAATGTATTTTGTCATATATATATAAATAAATGTATTTTAAATATTTTCCTGCATCTACCATTTGTGTTTTACAATAAGACTTAGTATGTGTTGGCTTTATCTATTGAGTTAACCATATTAATCTGATGTATAAATAAACCAAATGCTTCATGAAAGCATACTTTTGTGGTGGTTTTCCTTCAAATTGCTTTTCTTACGTTGGGAAAACTTCTAGG